CCCCTAGTGGGGCAAATGCCAAACTCTATTGCCACCCTGGAGAAAGGGGCCTTCCTACCTCTGTCAAGGTCAAGGCTAGGGCAATGGGGGCACTCTGAATCCCAGAACAGGGCAATGAGGCAAAACAAGAATGAACGGAGCAGTGCAGGCATGGCAAAAACTGAGTCCCAGGACTGGCGAGACTTACACAGGCCCTAACAACAAAGGAAGTCCAAGTGCAGTTTGCAATTAAATGAGGTATGGTCCCTAAAAGAAGCCCCGGTGACACAGTGGTGAAGTGCTACGCTGCTAACTGAAAAGTCAGCAGTTTGAACCTATCAGCTGTCCTGCGGGAGAAAGACATGGCAGTCTGCTCTGATTGCAGTCTTGGAAACCCTATGGGGCAGTTCTACTCTGTCCTACAATGTCAGTATGAATTGGAATTGATTCACCGGCAGTGGTTTATGGATGGTCCCTAAAGCACTTAGCAGGAAGCCTGATCCACAGCAGGAACCACAATGTGGTAGCGAATGCTTTAGGGCCCAGATTCCCTGGACCAAATCACTCACAGCCCAAAGGGAGCATGGAGAGCAGTCACCGAGCATTTGTGCTTGGGGAACCTGAGGCCCAGAGAGGGTGAGGGGCATGCCCAGAGTCACAGAGCAAATTGGAAGCAGAGCTCGGACTGTTTCCCGCCTTCCTCCCAGGGCCAGGCTGTCTTTCCTCAATTCTAAGATACACACTTCCCCTCTCATTTTAAACTTTCTGAATCCGAGTTGTATCTTTAAGTGAGTTAGTGTATTAAAGCACTTGGAGCCAAGCCCAGCACGTTGTGCATGTGCAATAAATATTAACGGTTTTTATTATCTCCTGATCAATGTGTACAGTGCATCTGGAGGGGATTTTTTTGTTCACCCAAAGTGTTATTTCTACATGTCATCGATGCTGGAGCGCACTTTCTCCTTCTTCACGTTTCCATATCCCTGACATCGGGGAGCACCCTACGCTTGCAGTTGGCAGCTTTTTCTCTGTCTCTTTGACACATAAAACAGTGATGCCTCTTACACCATTGGGTCTTACTACCGAGAAAATACAGTAGAGCAGCTTCCTTTCCATAAATTCAAATTCTACAAGTCTCTCCTGAATCCCCTAATTGGCACCAGAGGAGGACAGGGGTGTGAAGTAGAGGTGGGCAAGCAGAACCCCAAGGAAGGGGTCCCTTGGCCTGTCCCTGCAGTGATGGTGACCCCCGCCTCAGTGCTCTACCCCTCTTCGTCCCACACACTGCCCAGGTTCCCTGGGGGCCACACCTCAGAAACAACAGATTGGCTCTAGCCAGACCAGAACACAGCACTGTTGCCCTCAGCTGGCTCCCTTTGCCTGCAGCCTGCCCCTTCCCTTGGTCCCCAGCCCCAGGCCCCACTGTTGTCTACCTTCAGGTCTCAGCTGAGAAGAGACATCACCTCTTCCTTGATTGTCTTCCTTGACTGTCTCATCACCCCTTGTGAGGGACTCCTCTTCTGGGCTCCCACAACCTTCTGTGCTCTCCCCTCGTGGTATTGTCTTTTACTTCATTCATTCCTTCAAACATCCATTCGCCATTCACTGGGTCTCACCATGAACCAGGCTCCAGGCCACTCTCTGAGGACGCAGCAGTAGGCAAGTCACACAGGAGCCCTGCCCTAGGGGAGTGCATAGCCCATGGACTGTGACTCTTAACATCTTTTGGGTCATGGACCCCTTTGGGAATCTGATGAAAGCTGTGGACACAATATCTGGGGACTAAAAGCCACTGAATGCAACTTCTAAGGAACTGGCCCTAGACTATGAGCCCTCCTAGGGCAGTGACCTGGTAGGTACTGTCCTGTTCACCACCTGATACAGAGCAGTCCTGACGGCTGTTTGCTGGAAGGAAGGGAGGGAGGGAGGGAGGGTTGAGGGAGGGGTGCAGGTGGACTAGACCATGTCTCCATGAAGATGCTGGATGGGGCGGAGGTGGAGGCGCTCCTGGGACCTGCAGCACTTGCCATGCAGACACTCATGCCCTTCCTGCTAAACCCTGGATCCCCAGGCAGAGCCACCTCTGACTCTGGGCCCAGACAGCATGGCATGGAATGAAGGCCGCCTCTAGGCTGCCCCAAACCCCAGCTGCCACAGGTCAGCAGCTTCCAGGCAGGCTGGCATCACATTCTCACCATTCATTGAGCATTTACAATGTTTCCACCACTGAAATTTCCAAACTGCCCTGTGGCTGATGCTACAGCTGAATTCATTTTGCAGATGGGAACACTGAGGCTTGGAGAGCGGGAGCCCTTGCCCACAGTCACACGGGGAGCCAGCAGTAGAGCCAGCACTCGAACCTGGGGCTGGCTGGCTCCAGCATCGTGCCCATCTGTGCCAGGGCTGTTTGCCAAGCTTGTGCTCTCTTCTGCCTAAGGATGGCTGGGCTTTGAGTGACAAATCTCTGTGTCAGCAGTCCCTGTTGTGCCCGCTCCCCAAGTATGTCCAGCCAGAGAGACACCTTGCCCCAAGCAAGTGGCTCTGAACGCATCCTCAGACTGCATGGCATTAAGGTCTCCCGGCTGGCGAGGCTGGGGCTGGCCTGGCAGAGGGGCCAGCATCTCTCCTGTCTGTCTCCAGGATCCCAGCCCTACCAGAGCCCCTCCTTGCACCTCTGCTCTAGCCACTGAGGGGGAGGCAGAGGAGAAGGGCTGGAGAAAGCTCCAGGAGGGGTGTCTGTGGAGGGGCAGGAGGGTGAGCAGGGGATGACAGAGCTTGGAGATGAAACAGGCCACTCAGCAGAGGAGAATTAGTCTTCGGAGACCACCTTAAAGATGAAGTACTGTTCGCTTTTATAGGCTGTGTTTTACGTGCCTTGCAAAGAAATCTCCCCAAGACAGTAAGGGGAGGGGGGCTTTCGTGGTTTGCAGCCCAACTGAGTCTGCTGAGGGGCTGGGACTTATTAATCAGCCTTCAGCCTCGGCAGAGAGTGGTGCACAGCCCGGGGTCTGTGAGAGGCGGTGGAGACACCTGAAATGCCACACCTACCTCCCCAGGATGGGAGACCGAGGAGGCATTTTGAGGCAATGTGGCATGAGAGGAGTCAGAAGACCTGGGTTTGAGACCCACTTCCGCCACTTAACCATCTGCCTGAGCTCCCAGCTGGGGGGACCTGGCTTTGTTCCCTGGGTGACCTCCAGTGCCTTGCCCAGGGGCAGTGTCTACTCAGGAACCCCTGGCCATGGTAAGGACCAGGTGAGCCTGTGACAGGATAGAGGCAGGCAACCCCAGAGAGACCTCAGTTGCGGGGTGATATCTCTCAGTTTTCAACCTCCAGCAGAGGCCATGGGGAGTCTGACAGGAAAGGAGGGCTCAGGAAGAAGAGACGCCAAAGTGCCCTGCCAACCAGTCCTAGCCAGCCCCATACCCTCCACGTCTTCGTTTTCTAAGGGCCTGGGCGGCAGTAAGGTGGTACTGCCCTGGGTAGACTGAGAGGTCAAACTCCTCAGACTAAAGTAGGAAGAAGAAAGTCTCCTCCCCCTGCCGGCCTTGAGGGGGAAGCCAGGCAAGGTTTGATCCAGGTGCAGGCCTATCTGCACACCTCCCCAGCCTGTCTCCCAGGAGTGCCCCAGCCAAGCCAGGCAGTTGCTTGTCACAACAGACACACATCTTGGGGCTTTGGGCTGGAAACCAAGGGGCCAAGCAGTGACTCTGGCACAGAGCCTTGGGAGTGGCCTGTGGGATCAGTGGGAAGGGTGGGCACCAGCCCCTGTCCTGATCCAATGCCCTTCGCCCTTGTTTCTCTTCACCTCTCCCTGGACTGAAGTCTGAGCCTCTGGGCCCTGGTAGGAGGTCCTGGAGTGAGAGGCTGTTTGTTCTACTCAAAACCCGGGGTCCTGAGGACTGAGATGGGGGGCAGTATCCTGCAGGCCTCTGAGGAACAGGCCCCTGCTCTCTTGGGTCTTTTACCAATGGAACCAATACTTAGTGGCTCTTGAAGCCTCAGGTCCCAGGGTGGCTCCTGGGAGAAGTGGCTGAAGGTGTCCAGGAGGACAAAGAGACAGGGCTTGGGAAGCCATCACCCGCCCCCCAGAAGCTCCAAGCTCCCCAAGCTCCCTCACTCTCCAGGGAGTACTCAGCTCTGGGCCCCCTTCTGAGGGGGTCTTTTTCCCCAGACATTTCGTGTCCACCCCACTGTAGCTCTTGGCCTCCTGGACGGTCCAGCTGGGCTTCCTGTGCACACACCAGACATCTCTCCACCCAAACCTGAGCCTCACTGAGTTTCCCAATCTGAGAATGGCCCCAACACCCATTAGCTGCCCCTGTCAGGCACCTCCTGGGCTCCCCTCCCACAAGCCCCATGCCCAGCCAGTCACCTGGGTCTGTCCATTCCACTTCCTTCAATTTCCTGTCCCACATGTCCCTATGCTCCCAGCTCCTGCCCTGATCCAAGTCCTGTCATGTGCCTCTAAATCACTTCAACCATCTTCCTACTGGGTCCCTAGTACCTCCCAGCAATGTCACCCCATTCTCCAGTGGCCGATGGACAGCCGAGGTTCTTTCCTGAAAGCAGAGCCCATCAGGACACTGTCCAGCTTAAACACCTCTTGGGCAACGAAGCTCCAGAGCAGGCCCTGCTCACTTTCTAGGCCTAGGGCACCCTCAGTCTCTCCACCTCCAGCTCTACCCCTTGCAGCCTTCCCCTCTACCCCTGCTTTGTTCTCTCTGCCTACCTTGGCCTTTCATTTCCTCCAAACACACTTTTATCTTCCTCAAGTATAGACTCGGCACATGCTGTTCCCTCCCCAGTGACCCCTCCACCCAACTTGACTCTGGCTGAGCTGAGAAATCACCTCCTCCAGGAAGCCTTTTGTGTACCCTGCCTCTGCCCCACCAGCTGAGCTTCTGCCTTCTGGCCTCCCCCATAACAGCCCACACCACTGAGCGAGACCCTCAGGATAAGATGAGTGTAGGAAGGGATTCTTGGCTTGTAATTCCCCATGGGCCTCTGCTTCCTTTATTTCACAACTGTTTGGTGACCATGACTATTTGATGACCTCAGTGCAAACCACAGGGACCAAGAGGAAAGAGGCATATATCTTTTTCTTTATAGCATCCATCACAGTTTGTAATAATACCTGACTTGTGAATTCCTTTGTTTCCCCCATGGGACTATAAGCTCTCTGAAGCACAGACTATATCCATGAAGTCATGCCCTATCTCCTAGCTCAAGGTAACCAAAACCAAACCCACTGCCTCGAGTCAATTCCAACTCATAATGACCCTGCAGGACAAAGTAGAACCGCTCCATAGGGTTTCCAAGGCTGTGAATCTTTACACAAGTAGACTGCCTTATCTTGCTCCCATGGAGTGGCTAGTGGGTTTGAACTACCAACTTTTTGGTTAGCAGCCAAATGCTTTAACCACTGCACCACTGGAACTCCTTAGCTCAAGTTGAGTAATTTAAATGCAGCAGGGATTTAAGTTAGACATCAGGAAGAACTTCCCAATGAGAAAAAAAATCCCCTTTTCTTTCTAGAATGTTTTTAGAAGTGTCAGACTTATCAGAAAACACACTACTTGGGATGTGGTCTTGGCTTACTCAGGTCAACTTCCTTTGGGGTAGCTTGGATTAAGTTCTGCTCAGAAACAAGGCAGCCCTGGAGGAGGTGTTTACAAGATGACTTCCTGTCCTATACTTGGGGAGAAGAAGAACCATGTCTGTTCATAGATTCTTTCATCTAAGAAACTCCAAACTTCTGGCAAATATCACTTCACTGTCATCTCCCTGCCCAAGGGTATGAGAGCTCCTTCTTTCTGCAGATGGAGAAGATACTCTAATGAAGTTGGGCAACAAGGTCACCCAGCAAAGGAGAAGCTGTGGCTGGACAGGGTGGGGCAGAGTGGGCCCGAGGTGGTCCCTGGAACAGCAGCACTGCTGAGTGCCCCGAGAACCACACAGCCCTGATGCCGGAGACTGTCCTTGCAAATTACATACCACAGGCTGGACAGAGAAAGGCCAGCTCACCTCACATTTTCCCACAGAGGCACAGATCCTGGCTCCAGCTTCCTTAGCCTTGGTTTACTCATCTGCCAGATGGGTTAATCATCCCACCACCAACCTCCTGGGATCGTTGTGACTAAGGAATGACAAATATGGATGTGTGACCTGACCAAGTGGTGCCCCGAGTCAGGCACTGGCCTTTACTCCCCTTGAGGAAGTACTCCATTAAGGAACCTTAGCCAGGTCCTTCTGCTGGGAGCTGCCTGCTTGCATCAATAGCCTTCCCCCATCGGGGGAAAGGAGAGGAGAGACCAGGCTACAGACAACCTGTGAAAGGCTGCTTTGTTCAAAGAGCCATCCTCCTCACAGGTGCACAGTGCTTTACAGTTTGCAACACCCAAAAAACCAAACCCACTGCCATCCAGTCAATTCTGACTCATAGCAACCCTATAGGACAGAGTAGAATTGCCCCATTGGGTTTCCAAGGCTATAAATCTTTATGGAAACATACTGCCTTATCTTTCTCCTGCAGAGTGGCTCATGGGTTTGAACTGCCAACCTTTTGGTTAGCAGTTGAATGCTTTGACCGCTGCACCACCAGAGCTCCTTTTTGCAAAACAATTTGCAACACACCCCAGAATCTCCCTTGACCCTTATATCAGCCCATGTGAAGTGAAGAAGCAGGGAATGCTATTCCTATTTTACAGGTCCAGGCCTAAAAAGGAAGAGTAATAATTTACACAGCATCACATGGCATGTCAGTGGCCGAGGTGGAACTGGAAGCCAGGGAGAAGAGAAGGGAGGGCCCAAGAAAGAGCTGGCTCCAAAGAAGCCCAGCCAGAAAAGCCTCTCTCCATAGTGGGGACAGGAAAGGCCTTCCCTCTTGTCTAAAGCTTCAAACAAACCTGGGGCTGGCACAGGCGACAGCCTGTCTAATGCTGGGTCACCAGGGGGTGGGAAAAGGAGGTGAGTATTTGATATTGGTCCAGGCCACTGGGGCCACTCTCTTTCAGCTACCTCTGATGCCAGGGGTCAGACATCTGGGCTCTGGTTTGGTGGCAGTTGGACTTTGTCCCCCAAGGGAGTAGCAGAGAGAGGCTGGGCCTGGCCCAAGAAGCCTTCAAGCCACATTTCAAACAAATCCCTCAGAAGCCACCTTCCCTTCAGACAGAGCAGGGCTTGCTGGCTTCTCTCCTGACACTCCTCCTGGCTGGGGTTTCAGACAATTCAGTTCATCAAATACCCCTCAGCTCCCTACCCAAGTGGAATGGAAGGGCTGGGGCAGAGGCCCAGGGGAGACCAGAGATGAGCATGTATACAAAAGGAGGTCCAGATGGAGGAGGGGGGTCAGGGCTGGGGGATGAGGCAGTGAGATAAAGGCAGCGAGAGGTAGCTAGGTTAAACTCCACAGGGACTTCAAAGCACAGCCACTGGGCATCAGGGAAGGCTTCCCCTAGGAGCTGGCATGGGCGCTGGGTTTTGAAGTATATGTAGGCTTTCTCAGTGTGAAGTGTGTGTGTGCATGTGTGTGTGTGTGCACATGCTGGAGAGTGTGGTGGAGCCAATAGGACAAGCAAAAGTCTGGAGGTGGGGCAGCCGGACGTGTGGTCCAGAGAGTCGGTATATGGAAAGTGACTAAAGGGAAGGGAGAGTGGGCCAGGTTAGAGACAACCTTGAACAATGAGCCCAGAAGCTGAGACTGCTCTCGCTAAGGTAGGAGAAAGTCAGATCTCAGCAGGGGTGACAGTTATTATTTGGGGACAGCTTGGGTGTACACCTGGATGGGGAACAGATTGCTCCTGGGAGGCATAGAGAGAGGCTTGGGTTCAGATTCAGGATGGTATCCTAGCGCTCCTGCTAACATGCTGTGTGACTCAGGCACATCCCTTGACTTCTCCGAGCAACGATTCCTTGGTCTGTGACATGAGAATGAGTGTGACTGCCTAGCTCCCAGGCTGCTTTGGGAGGGAGGTACTGCAGATGGATGGAAAAGGGCTTTATAAATTGTAGAGGACTGGGCCACACACCATGGCAGTATCACTCTAGAAAGAGCAGGTTGCAGCTCCTGAGCCTGGGGGTGGCCAAGCCCCGCCCTTGCCAGCCCCTCCTGCCGGTGTGAACACGAACTGTTCCTTCCCCAATGACATCTGTCTGGGAGAAATTTAAAATTTAAAATGGGCAGCCCCATTATTTCTTGGTGAGCAAGGCCTCCTCATTTTGCTTGTTTGCTCCAGTCCCCTGGTGCTTGGCCTGGGGCAGCCCCCGGGCAGCCCCTCCACCTCAGCTTCTCTTCTCTAGCCCCTTCTCTGGCCAGCTCTGGCACTCTGCCCTCCCTCTCCTTCTGGGACACAGCCCCAGGCACCCTCCAAGCCCCCTTCTCCTGCCCCTGAAGAGGCAGCAGGAAGTGTGGAACAAACCAGCCCTGGGGAGCACAGACCCAGGTTCAAATCCCAGCAGAGCTGAGTGGCCTCAGGCGGGAGCCAACCCTCTCTGTGCCTCCCTTTCCTTGATTCTGAAAGCTGGAGAATCACAATACTCAGGCGTCTTACACGACACTGAGTATTTATGGATGCCGGGCCCCTGAAAAAAATCCGAGGGTTCAGAGGAGAGCCAGGGGTTCAGATCCTGGTCCTGAAGCTCAGATTACCTGTGCTGGGCGCCTCGCACAAGGTTGTGCCCAGAGTAGGGGCTTAGGAAGTGCCTACTATAGAAGTGAGGGAGAAAAGGGGCATCAAGAGGTGTGATTTGTCTGTGGTCACACAGCGACTTAAAGGGTCAGTCTCGCAATCCCTCCCCCTCCGCACACGCGCTCTTCAGGGATCTCTGCTGGGGCGCCGCCCAACTCGCACCCCGAGTTCAAGCCTCCATACGGGAAGAAAGAGGAGAGCGCCCGCCCTGGGCCTCCCAAAGCTCCCGTGCGTGCGCTCCAAACTCCAGCCCCCGCGCTAGGCGCCTGCCCCGCGGGCTGGAGCGGCCATAACCTCTCCAGCAGCGCGGGCCCTTGTCCCCGCTCCCCGGCCCGCGCGTACCTGCGGCTTCTCGCGCGGCCCGTCCTCAAGTTGGGAAGCGCCGCCCATGGTCTTCCACCGGTCGTTGACCATCTTCCGGCAGGACTGGCGGGGGCGCCCGGCAAGGCGCGCCGCTGCAGAGCGCAGAGGCGCCGAGGTGGGCGCGGGCTCGGGGAGGTCCGGGTGTGCGTGCACGCGGTGGGGTGTGTGTGTGTGTGTGTGTGTGTGAGAGAGAGAGAGAGAGAGTGCGCCGGTGTGCGCGCGGCTGTGAGTGCGGGTGAGAGCGGGAGCGCGAGAGCCGCGGGCCGCCCGCCTGCAGCTAGCGTTGTGCGCCGTCCCCGCTCTCCGCTCCCGCGCCTCCCTCCGCGCGCTCCTCTTTCTTCCTCCCTCTCTCCTTCTTTCACTCCCTCCCTTCTTCTCAATCTCGATGTCTTTTTTGTCTTGGACTCTCTCTGCCTTTTATTTCTCTACACACACACACAGACACACACACACCCGCAGGCTAAGAGTTAAACTCCACCTCCAAAAACATACTCCGTAAAGGGGGCAGAACACCGACCCCAGCACACCCGGGCAGCCTCTTAGGCAGCATACAGCTGTCGGCGGACTGACCCTGTCCGGCTCCGGGAAGAGCCCTGAAACCCACGGCTAAGCCTCTGCACAAACTTCGGAGCCGCACTCGCGCCAACTCAGTGTGCGCGAGGCGCGCGGCGCCGGGGCGGACCCTGTGGGCGCCCCCGTCGGGCCGTCGGGTGTCTTCGGGGTGCGAGCGCCGCGCTCTTCCTGGCTCCCTCTGTTATCAGGGAGCAGTGCTCACCCCGAGAGCCAGGTTGGGCAGTGGAAGGGGGACGACGAGTGCACGCCCCCTGCAGGTCTCCGGGGTCTCCGTCCGGGCCCCAGGTCAAGTGCGCACAGCCTGGCGGTTTCCAACCCCTGGGGAGCTCCTCCCTCCCGACCCGGGTTCGTAGACCTGCGCTCTGGCGCACGCGGATACAGAGCCCACCCGACGCCTCCCTGCTCAGCCAGCGGGCAGGCTGAATGCCGGAACCTAGCTACAGCGACAATTGCCGCCACCGCCGCGGTAGCGAATACCAGCGGCTCAGCCCGCGCTCTCGGCCGACTGCCCGCGTTCCCTGGGCGCGCCCCGCAGCCTCCACCAGCTCCTCCGCCCGGTAGAGGAGGGATTTGTGCTGGGAGGGGGCTTCTTAGTCGCCCCCTCCCACCCGCAACACTTTTGAAAGCATTTAATCCGCCTGAAGCAGCCTTCGGAGGTAATTGACAAAATCCTTAATCTGCGCTGTTAACGAGCTGCTATTGTGGTTTCTGACCGGGAGGCGCCCACGAGGCCCGACGCAGCGTTCCCGGCCGACTTCTCCTCCCCCCGCCCCTTTCTGAGGCCCCCTACCTTTCTTCTGCTCCCCCAGATCCAGAATAGACACCCCCGTCCTCTGCCCCCAGCTTCTCCCCAAAGCTGTTTACCAGCTCCAGGGGCGCCTTGGCCCGCCACACTGTTCCCTGGCGCCGTCTTCGTCTCTCTCCCACCGGCTGCTAGTCTGTCGCCCATTCCTCATCCCTCGCCCAGGCCCTTTTTTGGACCGCACGGGCGGTGCAGGGGAGCGGGGGAGGGGGATACCATGCCTAAACTAGTGGTCAGGTCTTGGGCCACGCACTGGGGCGGGGAACCCCGCGGCCCCCTGCTCTCAATGGAGGCTGTTACCACCTGTGAGATGCTCTGTTCACCACCCTCCGGCTTTTTGTCAGCGGTTTTCTCTCCCCTCAAAGACATCCTGCCTGCCCCAACTCCCTCATCTGCAGCCCCAGTTTGGATACCTAGGTAGGCTGTCGAAGGAGAGAGGGCACTGGCTGGAATCAGCA